ACGTGACATGAAATTGGTACCTGGAATGCAGGTCCATATTTTCCTTAATGCACAATATAAATGAGGTTAGAGGTGTTAGAGATGAGCCTTTACGTGGTCCTACAAGCCACTGGAGACTAGCCACCATCTAATGTTTAACCATCTCTAAAACCTCGCAGGCTTTCTGTATATATGCCAGGCAGAGCCCTGAGCTAACAACAGCAACATAAATCAGGAAACACGATGCCTCCGTTCATTTCCAGAGCAGCAACTCCCTGTTTTCAACCTGGACAATTCACCAAAGAGGAACAGGTGTGGTTCCTTCAATGGCAGGTGCGGTGGGCCTTTATCAGCCCATCAGTTTGCTTTCCTGCGGTGACTCAGACAGGTGGTAGTAATGAAACCACCTTAGTCTCATGAAGTGACATCTTGTGTTTAGGTAATCACGACAGCTTTGACCAACAAACTCTACACTTATCAGTAAATGCAAATTAAATTACAAATTATTCACATGTTGATCCACAATGTTAATGATATGTGTATGTATTATTATAAGATTGACATTTTAGGTAAAAATTGGTTATGGATGACTAATTTCATGTTTTATAGCTTAAAATACCTACAACATGATTGCATTTTTCATTATCAAACATCAATAATGTATCATTGTACCATTCTATTAACTATGTCACAAGTAATAAAGTCTACACTAGAATGCCTGGCAAGCTTATTTGTAGAGCAGTCAAGCCAATGTAGTTCTTTTCCTATTGTGTATATAATGTGTGTTTTATGCTTTGGGGGAATTTGGAATATAGCTTGCTATAGACTATGTTGAATTTCTCCTGAAATTATTCAATGAATATACACAAGTACCAGCGTGACTGTCTGCGGACTGTCAGGAGGCTATTGAGCTTAGTGAAGCGGTAAGGACGGGATCCTGAGGTGATGGTTGGTGTCTTTATGAGGAGGAAGAGGAAAGGAGAGTCCCTTTATGGGTGTATCCTGAAGAAAGAACACACAAATGCACAGCAAGAGATTGAAACTTCATACCTCAGGAAAAGATCCCTCACCAAGAATCAAACCCTGCTGGAATGTCTCCTTGGATCCCAACCCACAGAGCTACAAGAAATGACTGTGGTTCAAGTCCATAATATTTGGTTAGACAGCTCAAACTGAGCAAGACGTGGTGACAGGAAGACATCACGGCTGCTGTAACATCTGAGCAGGCTGAGATGCTGGTATGAGCTTCCCGTTGGAGCACAGAGCGTAGGTTGGGGTGTTTGGTAGTCCGTAAGCAGTCTGGTTGTGTCATGTGTCAGTTCCTTTCTGGTTGCCATGACTAAACACCTGGCTGAAGATACTGCAGGCAGGAAGGTTGTACGGTGGCTGAGCTACAGTCTGTCACAACGAGAACATCATGGCAGCAGAAACACAGGGTGGCTCCCCAGAGTACTCCTGCAGTCAGGAAGCAGATGAAGCCCTGTGCTCAGCTCACCTTCTCCTTTCTATGTGGACTGGGACCCCAGCCCACATTCAGAGTGGATCTTCCCTGCTCACTTAAACCTTTAAGAAAACACATCATAGACACACCCAGAGATATGTTTCATGGTAAGTCTAAATCCAGTCTAGGTGACAGTGAAGGTTTCCCACCGGGGCACCACCAGTGTTGACTGACAATACAGCCAAAGCCAGACCTTCACCAACACTGTGTGCTCCTTAGGAACATAAGTTAGCTCCCGCTGTTATCCAAACAACTCTACTTATGGAATCTACCAGAAAACAGCACCAGCCTGCAGTGTTTGTATTCAGAAAGAGAGCAGAAAAAACTGGGTCACCAGGAACAGAGATTCTGGTTTGTTCCAAATCCATCTGTCCAGCCCAGCCCTCCCCGCAGGTTCATAGTGTAGGTAGTAGAGACATAATGAAGGTTTTTAAACAACTATGGAGCACCAGTAGAAGGCATTCTTCACCACGGATTAAAGGGAAGAAAATGTCATAAGACGCCGTTCAAGTGTGATGTTGGAGAGGAAGTGACAGGGACAGTGAGACAGCCTAGGTGATCTTATGCAACCCCTCGGGCAGGATCTGCTACCTCTCAAATGACCTGAGGGACCTAAGATGGTTCTCAGGCTTGCTTGATTCTCTTGCAGAGAAGAGGCAAAGAATTTGACCTCAGGTAGTTGTGTGTGTGTATTCCACTCAAGATGACAGGAATCTGCACTAACTTTTCCCCCTCAAGATTAATCAGTGGTGTGGTCTGGAGAGATAGATGGCTAAGTGGGAAAAATGTAGGCCACGCAGGCATGAGGACTTCAGTTCAGGTCCCCAGAACTTGTGAAATGTCAGGTGGGTAGGTGTGGTAGCCTGCCTGTGATTCTAGTACCTAGACAGAGAGACAGGAACCATCAGACCTGGTTAGCTAGACCAACCATACTGATTAGCTCTTGTTCTAGTGAAGAGATTCCACCTCAAAGAATAAGGTGTAGAGAGACAGGAAAGACTCCCCACATCAATGTCTGGACTTCACACATGCTCAAGTGTGCATAGACACCTGCACACAGATATGCACACACAAACAGACACACAGACCTGCACTCACAGAGACTAGTCAGTACAATGTGAGAAAACTTGGGGTGGGGTCATGCAGACATTCACTCAAACACGTAAGAATATGTCAACTGAAAGTGGGGTGTCAGGTGTAGGAATTAAAGGTTGTGTTTGCAAAGTTTTTATTTTTAAGTGTTCAATGGATTCTGTTTAATAAAATTTCATATTTATCCCAAAGCCCAGAGCCCAGCTTGGCTTTAACTGTAAAGTTAATGCAGGCTATAGTTGCCAGAGAAGGAAATCTCAAATAGCATGTCTGTGGGGTTGCCTTAATTGTTAATTGGTATAAGAGGGTCTAACCCACCATAAGTGGCCCCACTCCCTGGACCTTCAAGCCTGTTTTGTGAAGTCTGAGTCTATTGGCTTTCTCTGATAGGCTCCTGAGTGAATGTATTGCACAGTCTGAAGTAGGTCCTGTAGAGCTTGCAATCTCTCAGTGCTTGTGTGTTCATATGTGGATGTCAGTATGTGTACAGGCATACAGGTGTGTATAGGTGTGTGGTGTGGGTGTTTATCTCCTGCAGGTGGCTACATGGCTTCTCTTTGATTCTGCCTACTCTCTCTCTCTATCTCTTTCAGCCTGGCTTTCCTCTGTTAAGCCATTGGCTAGATGCAGTGTCTTTATTAACCAATGACAATAAAACATATTCTCAGCATACATCACCTCCCACATCACCTTTGTATGTGGGTTCCAGGGACAGAACTCGTGTCCTCTGACTTGCCTGGCAAGCACTACCTGACTGAGCCATGAACCCAGCCCTGTCAATCACACACTGCTCACTGTTCTCCCATTGCAGCTGGAGTTCTGGCGTCTTATTGTGTCAGGGGACAGAAGGGTCCATGAAGCCTCCTCTGATGACACCCAAGTCATGTTGAAAGAGCGTCCTTCTCCATCTCCTCATGGGAGGCAAAGGCTATTAATTACACTGAGTGACAGACTCTCCGTGGTGTATGATTGACACAGGATGAATCTTTGTTACTGACTGCAGATAGTAGAATTGCGATGCTTATGTAGAGCCAGGTGGGGAGGATGTGCCTGTGACCAGGCAGTGTGCATGCGGTTGGTATGCGGTGGGCGTGTGATAGACATGCAGTGAAAATGTGGTGGGCATGCGGTGGGCATGTAGTGAGCATGTGGTGGGCATGTAGTGAGCATGTGGTGGGCATGTGGTGGGCATGTGGTGGGCATGTGGTGGGCATGTGGTAGACATGCTGTGAGTATGTGATTGACATGTAGTAGGCATGTGGTAGACATGCAGTGGACATGTGGTGGGCGTGCAGGGGCATTCAGTGGGCATGCAGTGGGCACGTGTTATCTTCTTCGACCTCTGCCTGAGAAGCTGCAGGAGACAGAACAGGCATTATCTTGCTACATTCCTTTCCTAAATACAGCGTCTGTCTACTTTGCTTGTTCAGTGCTGGCACAGGGACAGCCTGTCTTTTTATATTAGCTTAGTTCTGTAAGGAAACAGTCTTTTAGGAGGAAATAGTTGGAAAATTCGGGCAAGGATCCATTTTTAAAGTTGCAGCTGAATGATTGCTTTCTTATTGTGCGACGTCGGGCTACAAAAACCATCCATTTCTGTACACATGTTTCTCTTTTCCTTTCTTAGCTTTGTGTTTTCATACCGCTTAAAACATACATATGGGCCAGAAGGAAAACAGTTTCAAAGGGCTGGTTTTCAAGGACTCCTAAAAATAGCACCTATTGCCAAACACGCAGCCCCCCAATATGTAAATGGACAAAAGGGGTGCAATGAAAAGCATATGTTGCTCACATTTCACTTAGAAAAACAGGAGTCGGAGGCTTGGCCTCCCGGCCCTGGTGCTGCTGCAGCTGTGGTTTCCACTCAGCCTCAATCCGAGCCTCCAGCACCCACTCTCCGCATAGCTCACGTCTATCTTTTAACCAAGGCTGTAAAAAGCTACCAGGAATAGCTTCATTCTCCAAATGGGACTGAGCTGTTTCATCACCAGTCTGGGATTTGACACGAACCTTTCAAACAATTATCAATGCTCAGAAGGGATCAAGCACCCACAGTGCCTGGGCCTGTGTGGCTGCCTCGCAGGCCCAGGGCGAAGGAGTGGGCTGGGAAGGGAGTCCAGGGTGGTTGAAATAAGAAGATATTTATTGTCTGCCTTCTGCGGCAATGAGGAATCACCTCACATTCTTCCTAGAAATAAAACAGAGAGTGTACGAGCATTCATGAGATCCAAAGCACTCCACGGTGGGGAGGTTTAGCTTAGACTGCCTTCCATGGCTGTCCCGGTACGGAACATGTCGTCTCGTCTACTCCTACAATTTAGAAAAGGCGTCCTGTACGAAAACCCCATGAGAATGCCAGCCTCTCAGGTACCTCCTTTTATTTCCTGAGAAAATATATTATTTGTCCTCTCGTCAGAGGTCCACAAACCTGGACGAGTGAGCGCGTCTGTGCAGGGACAGCTTCCTCGGGGCTGAAGTTCGGATCCCCTGGCGACCTCTCCTGGTCCAGCAGGCTGTGGAACTGGGTTGGTCCCGAGTGAGTTGTCTTGCTTTCAGCTATGGAGTTGTCTTGCTTTCTCAGCTCTGGTTAAATTTTGTGTTCTGTAGCTTAGTGTTTCCATGATGGGCCGTGGAAAAAGAACCGTGGAGAACGTTTCGCCTTTGCTGTTAAAAGTTGTGACCTTTGCTCACATTTGCCAGAGAAAGTGCTTATAGCACCAATTAACATGAATTATTAACTCCCAGATTAATAATTGATTAGAAAGCCAAAGGCCCTGGCTACTGCCCCATCATGCTATTGAGAGAGGAACAAAGGAAACAATTTAGATACAATTAGAAGTTCAGGCAGGGCTTGGGATAGTAATGACACTTTGGCTTTTTAAAGGATTGTTTTTTTTTTTCCTCTCCTGCCACGCGGCTGGAGAGTCAAAGTCACTAATAATTCATAGACTGACTCATGTGGATGCTGCCTTTAAAGGTTTCATTTAACAAATATTTATGTACCTCTTTCTTTGCGTTAACTTCCACTTGCAATAGTTGCTCATATGGGATCTTCATCATCATCATTCATAGGTGTGCGCACATGTGTGTGCACCAGTGGTCAATCTCAGGTGTTTCTCAAGAGCCCCGTACCTTGTTTGGTAAAGGCGGGGTCTACCGTTGGCCTGGAGCTCACTAAGCTAAGGTAGCAGCAAACCTCTGGCTCTGCCTCCTCTGTCCTGGGGTATACACACGTGCCACCACACCCAGATTTTTGTCGTGGGTCCTCATGCCTGCAGGACAAGTACATTACCGACTGAGACACATGAACCAAGTCCACAGGGGGATTCTTTTAGTGAATCTTCGCAGCCTTGTATGGTAGACACCGTGATTATCGTCCTCCAGGAATGGACGAGGGCAGGAAGGGCAGGGGCGCCACACAGAAAGATACTTGGTGACCAGCTGTCTCACTGTGCCGCAAATGCTCTAAGACATTGTCATTAACGGAGTAGCTTGAGCATCAGAATTTTTCTCTCTTGTGGCTGGAGGCGTAAGTCTAAGCTCAGAGCCAGGTATGGTGGCACACACCCGTAATCCTAGCACTTGGGAGACGGAGGCAGGAAAATTAGGAGTTCAGATCAAACTCAGTTGTATAGTGAGCTCGATGCTAGCCTGTGATACAGAAAACACTATGTCAAACATTCACAAACACACACACACACACACAAGCTCACAAATACACTTGCAATCACGCAAACTCACAAACACACACACACAAACACACACAAACTCACACATACAAACTCACAAATTCATACACACAAACTCACAAAAACATACAAACTCACACATACAAGCACACACACACAAACTCACACATACAAACTCACAAATTCATACACACAAACTCACAAACACATACAAACTCACAAACACATACAAACTCACACATACAAGCACACACACACACACACACACACACACACACACACACAGTCAGGATTTCAGCCGCACTGATTCCTCTAGAGCACTGGGAGAAGGAACCTGTTCCAGGCTTGCCTCTTGGAATCTGGTGCAGCTGGCAGTCTCACTGTAACAGGGTTTGGCTTGTAGGCTATTGTAACCATCTCCATTAGTCTTCACATGGTCACCTCCTCATGGGAGGGCCTGTGTCTGAGCACCCCCTTTTAAAAGTAGCCAGTCATATCAGATTAGGCTCCCCCCTAGTAACCTTATTGAAACTTGGTCAGCACTGTGAAGAGTTTGTCTGAGGCACTGGAGATTAAGACACCAACTTGTGGATGCTGGAGATGGAGGGATGGATACAACCCACAGCATGGACAGAACCAAGTCTCAAGCCTGGGTCCCTATTCATCACCACCAAGCCACATTGTATTCATCTTTGGTCCCTCTGAATATATAAAGCTTATTAGAAAGAGTTGAATGAAACACCTTATCAGTTTGTACCCAAGAACTGTCCTTACCTTGTGTGTACCCTGGAGACAGTGTCTGGGTGACTGACCTTCTAGGCAGGCTCTGCCTTCCTGGGAGGAGGGGGCTGGTTATAGCTGGACGGCCTCTGAAAGCACTGAGCAGGGGCTGCAGTTCGGGAATCTCAACATTCCTTTAGCTCCATTTGCCTGACTTCTTTTTCTCTGAATCCATACATTCGGGATGATGATGATGAGAGAGAGAGAGAGAGAGAGAGAGAGAGAGAGAGAGAGAGAGAGAGAGAGAGAGAGAGAGATATCCTTCCCACCCTTCAGATTCTTAGAACCATAATTAGGGAATGTTATTGTTACATTTTTCTGCTACTTTGTAAACCTACCTGGCATCATATATACACAGAAAATTTGAGACAGGGTCTCACACTGTCTTCAAGTTGACCTGAAACTCTGTCTCCATTTCTGAGTGCCACAGTTCAAGCATGACCACCACACCTGGCTTCCCTGGTACTCTACACCAAAAAGAGAGAACACTTGCTCTGGCATTTTTAACTTGCAGAAGAATCCCTGCTTGAGACTCCTTGTCCCTTCTTGGAAAAAAAGAAAATAAAAGAGCAGAAATCAGGTGAGCAGGAACAGTGGGGCAGGGAAGGGCTCATCACCACCCATCACCATGTGTAGGCGAAACCCCATGGGCTAAGGTTTTAGGAGGTCTTGCCTTGCTTCGGTAAATGCCACTTTTAAAGAAGAGCAATAGCACACTTGATGTTGGTGATTCTAAGGATGAAGCCGACAGCGGAGGTTCACAGACTCCATGTTTCTTTCCTTCATCGCTCACAGTGACAGCAGCGTGGAGTTCATGGCCAAGGTTAGGTTCTCAGAGCTACCTTTGGGTCTCTACATTCATATTTTTTTTAGGGATTCTCCTTTCTTTGTGTGCATAATCTTTACAGTATTTCTGTGAAGTTTAAGTATAAGATTAAATTCTTCATATTTCTTTTCCTTTGATGGAAAAACTGTAGTAGAACCCACACAAGGAGAGAGCCAGGTGGGCAGTGCAATCCTCTATTTGAATGAATTGTCTGTCAGGTTGGGCCTGGTTAGAGGTTTGCTCACTTCTGAAAGCAGAAGTCCCAGAGTCCTTTCTAGATGGACTCTGAGAGGTCAGAGGACACGCAGAGCTAACTTAGAGGTACCATGGAGACCAGGGCTCGGCTTGGGTCTGTTTGTCCTGTTGATCTCTAGAGATTACCATTGTTTAGGCATTTCTGAGTCCTGTTTTGAAGTAACCGGCTGCCATGCCCCGCCCCCCTCTCTCAGGGCTGCTCTCTTTTGGGCCACGACAAATATGAATTCCTTCGGTATCTAACAAAGACATCGTAGGCTGCAAAACTAGCAGCGATCTCTGTTTTCTGTTCAGTGTGACTTTGCAGTTCTGTTTGGAAAGCCTGCTCCCCTGCTCTTGTTTATAGGTAGCCTGTGACTTCACCTGGCTAGCGTGTAGCAGTAGAAGTGATGGTGTCCATTTCTGAGCCTAGAATGAGGGCCCAAAGGGTCTGTGTTCTTTACTCTTCCTCAAAACCCTGCCTAGATGCCTTGTGAACAAGACCAGCGTAGTTACCTACGCCAATGTCCTTCTGAATCTTCCGAGTTACAGAAGTGAGCCGCTACCCCTGAACTAGGACTCAGTTCTCTCCTGGGACAATGCAGAAATCTCTTTGCCAGACAGTGACATTCCCTTTGGCCTCAAGGTCCCTCGGTGGAGTTATGTGATGGAGTGTCTCAACCGAGGATGTCTCAAGCGGATCACTAAGCGAAGGAAGGAGCCATGAGGTCCAGGGCAGCATGGACCCACCAGGCCCGGGAGCATGCTCAGCCCTGGTCCTGAGAGTTCTGCATCCCAGGTCTCTGGGTAGACTGTCTGGGAGAAAGTGGACCCACGTGGGGTGTTCTACAGAGACTGGGGTACTCGGCAAGGATCTGGTGATGCTGTGACAGCATGATACTGTCAATCATCACTGTCTGTCACCTTCTGGTCGATTCTTCCCGAATGTTGGTCGACTGGGGCAAAGACTCTTGAAATGAGGCATTTGGATGCCATTGACCTGGAGACTGTGAAATCTGTAAGACTCGAAGCCTGACTCCTCAGCCTACGCTGCCGCCTGCTGTGCTCCTCGGTCCCCTCTTTACCTCCTGCCGTCTGCATTTATAGTCTTACCCCCCTTGCTCCTCCTGCATGGTTTACGCCTACAGAGTCTAGCCTTATTCAGGTCCACCTTGCCCCTTCCTTTTTGTTTCCCGTCTTTTCAGGATGGTCTAACTGAACCTAGACCGGGCTTGCACTCGGTGTACAGTTAAGAACAATCCTGAACTCCTGATCCTCCTGCCTTCTCTCGGATGCCTTGGTTGGGGACGATGAGCACCACATGGCTCATCTGGGCCCTCCTCTTCCTCTTTCCTTTGTTAACAGTGGTGGCAACAAAAGAAGAAGGAACCCAGTCGACACTTCTGGTCAGTATGCAATGGTGTAAAAGCCTTACTGTGTTCAAAAAGATTTTTATTTAAAATTTTAATTACTGTGTTATCTAGGTGTGTCTGAAGATAGTTTGTGTATTTAAGTGAAGGTCATGGAGGTCGGATGAGGGCACTTCATCCCCAGACCTGGAGTTACACATGATTATGAGCTACTATGTGGGTGCTGGGAACCGAACCCAGGTCCTCTGCAGGAGGAGCAAGTGCTCTTAATCACTGAGCCATCTCTCCTGCCCTAAGAGGGCCGTATTCTCTTGCTTCTATAATTCATTATAGGGAGGCATTTCTCTCTGCTTATGGTGTTCAGAACAACAATTTTCCATCTCACTAAAGATGTCCACACCTTAATCCCAGAACCCACAGATACTGTGTATTATGTGAGGTTCTGCTGGGTATCTGAGTGAGACCTCTCTCATCTCATGGACCTTCACATAGAAAAGTCCAGAGGGACAAATGAGAACATGGCTTACTCCTCTCTTTAAAGATGGAAGAGGCCGTGAGCCAAGGGATGCTGCAGTGGGCATTTGGCACTGACAGGCACTTGGTGCCTCTGGGTCCACTGAGTGAGGCTTGTGGTGGGTGAACCAGCTCAGCGTCTGTCCCCACAGGTTGTCCCTGCGTTGCCACCCTCAGTCACAGTTTCCGACAAGTCCTCTCCGGTTGTGGATCTGGGGCTGACTGGAAATGCGGAGGACTTGAGGGAGGGGAGCAGCAAAGATGATCAAAATA